GCACTATGGCCTACTCTTATATCGAATTTCAACTGCGAGGGATCTTTAACATGCACAGGACCTTGGTTTTCTATCCCATCCAAATGACTATCATACACCACTACAAAACACGCCAGAAATGGGTTAAGCATACACTACACAAAACTAGTTCCTTTAGGAACTTTAATACCTCACTTGGGCATAGGGGTCTTCAGCAGTAAGAGGAAAACGGAGGACCCATGATGTGGGACAGGCCACCCTACTTCTTGTCCCGTACAAGCGGGGATCGAAGCCACGCCACTTGACTCGACAACAGACCTGATGAGTTAGAGCGCATTCGTTAACCATTCAGCCATGCCCCCACCCCTCCGAGACATGGTCTGTGACAAGTGCCCATTGTCCAGGCTTGCCACTCACCCAGCCCTCCACAGGTTATTCGTTTTGACCACATGTGTTAAAATTTTTTACAATGATCCCTTCAAAAAAAATTTAAAGTTTATGGTGTGTAAAATTTATTGAATCCACAAATAAATATCATTTTATTCATCAGCTTCTTCATCTTCGTCATCCTGATTAATCTGGAAATAACGAAGTTCGTAGGATTCTTTATCATTAGACACCACTCTTAACCAATCTCGCAGACTATTCTTCTTCAAATATTTCTTGGTAAGGTACTTTAAATATCTAAAACATAAAAACAATGGGTTAAATATCTATGGGCTCCATTTACTTTAAATATGTAACTATTCTTGCCCTTTACCAAGGGTCCAAAAAACGTCCTAGATTTAATCTACTCCACTTTCACTTTACAGTCTTGTCAGGTTTGTTGTTTAGGCAATATTAATTTAATTTATTATTCTACTTTCGATCCCCAACTGTACCACAGATCTGATCTTGTTGGCACTGTACAGGATTCTTCCACACATCGGCAGTACTTTCATTAATGACTTTGAAAAGATATGATACATCAAACCGCATGAAAAAAGGAAGAAAATGTTAAATTACCTCTTAGAAAATTTAATTTCTGAGCTGACAACAATTCTGTTCTTATTTCTTTCAATGTTGATCACTTTGCCTAAATTGTTGGTTCGACCATCGACCTTGATGCGTTCCTGGAGGTACTTTTCCTGGATTGTAGAAGAGAGTTACTTTGTTAGGGAAGATAACCCTAACTTACACTCAGGGAAGATAACCCTAGTGCCATCACAGATAAGATATACAACATAAAATTTAAAAAAACATGCAATTAACATATAAAGCAACGGAGCTGTTACAGAATATCTCGGAGCTGTTACAGAATATCTCGTAACACTAGGTTATTTAGCATAACCAAGTATTTAGAATGCTGGGCTCAGACTTTCCCAGGTAGTGAATCTGATTAAAGAACTACTGGCTACTACATTCACATGTCATGGGTTTCTTTAAGAGCATGCCAGCATTTACAACGGACCTCTTTTTGCCCCTTCTGAAAGACTAGACTGTCTTTATCAGGCTCTCTGTGCTGCACCGCTGACAAGGGGAAACCACACTGGAAAATCAAAATGTTCTTGGCATCCCCTGGGATCAAACTAGTTTATATAAAAACTTACAAATGAAATGAAATGGGGTTTAACGTCCTACTGTTCTGCTCGTAACCTGGGCTAATGAAGATGGGCATGCGCCATACAGTGTGCTATGAGGGAGATTTTGCCCAGGCAGCAGCGGTACAACCTACTCTTATATCGAATTCCAACTGCCAAGGGATCTTTTACGTACACGCCAATGTATACACGGGACCTCTGTTTTTCATCCCATCCAAACAACTAGACAGCTGTCCTTGTCAGGCCCTCCGTCCTGCATCACTGACAAGGGGAAACCACGCCAGAAATAAAAACTTACAAAGTTAGTAACATCCATGATGCCATCTTCAACAGGATGAGTACAATCAACGGCAAATTTCAGAATTTTCTTCTTGTTGCGGGCACCTTTTCCAGGTTTTCCTGGTTTCTTACCCTTTACTTTTCCTCCTGCTCCCTTGACCTAAAATTATAAATTACAATATAAAAGATAGGCAACACTACTGACTGGACAAAATCAACTTATAACTCTACAATCTGAGAGATTCTGAATCCCTCGTTTGCTAACTATTTAATTACACAAATATCTCCAACGTGAACATCGGTCAGTAAAATATTGCAAGCACCACAGGTTAATAACTCAACAGTGGTGGGGAAAAACCTGAATTTGATAAAAGTGGTCTGATTTACAGTTCAAACAAGCAATAGCATTGGCCATTGTTTGGGATCTAGTCAGAAATGAGACAAATAGAGTTTATAATTCCACTAGCCACAAACTAGGACATTTTTTAATTTCAGGAACCGAAGAGAGAGAGAGAAATGGGGTTTAACGTCCACTCGACACAAACTAGGTCATTTCGGGACTAACATATGGTTTAATTTTATTTACATAATTCGCTTGCGCGTGGGGGTCTTTAGCAGTGGGAGAAAACCCACGAGGTTGGACAGGCGACCCTACTCCTTGCCACGTACAACCGGGGATTCAAAACCACGCCAGTCGACTCAATGACAGACTTTATGATACAGCGCGCGCACGCTAACCATTCAGCCATCCAACCCCCCCAGGACCCGAAGAAAAAACGCTTACAATACAAGAAATCAAAACAAGGCTACTTGAGTAACGACAGAACTTTATGAAATGCACACACTTCTTCAGTCCATTCGACCACTCCAATCAGAAATAAAAAGTAAAAAACTTTCTGGTTTCACTAAATGAAATTAGGTTTAGATCTATTTAATGTATGTATATTGTACATAGACCGTCTTCAACTGATTGAGGTTGCAGCATTGAAGGCTGGGGCTAATGAACGCACGTTTAATTTTCCAACTCTACTGTGCCCGGCCAGTAAAACAAGAGTGTGTGCTTCGACTGATCGACGAACACGTGGTTCCCGTCTAGTCCGCTCATAATGGCAAAACAACTCTTTTATTTATATATAATCCAATTCATCATTATTGATGTTGAAATGGATTTATGCTTTCTGAAAGAAAATAAACAGAGAAACTTAGAGGTTAGAAATGGAGAAAATATTTGCTCTTGTTCAGAGCACATTTTACGTACTGGTGACATGATGGCGGTTCGATTTAGAAAGGATGAAACGGAGTGCGCAAGACTGAAGTCCTGAATTCCAGCTCAATTATCCAGACGCACATTTGTCCTATCGTCCGGGGAATAGGGGGACTTCTAGATGACCATAGAGTTTCGAGTTTTTAAAAACCATATCGGGTTTCTGATACATATTACAATACATCAACTGCAATACAAAAGAAGTGATGCGTATTCTACGACGACCTTGATCTTAACACAAAAAATGTAAATTTATAATTCAACTACTGCGCCAATCTACCACGTTATAATTTGATTTCCAATGAGACTAGGCAACGGAGGCTACAATCATTTGTACGGATCGGCGGAGGAAACAAACCGAGATTTTATGACTTTCATGTTAATTCTTTTTTTTTTTAACAGGCTCTAACTTTTTCTCAACATGTTCGCTGTAGTGATTAGAATACAGATCTATATTTTATTTCATTTTTTTATACTTTCGATGGCCTCAACTACATGAAGATCTGACCAGTTGTAGTGGGGGGTCATGTCAGGGGTCATACGAGCGACTTTTGACCCTATGCCGGCATACATTTGATTAACCAATCGGCGTTCACGTTTCTAGTAGGATACCCACAGTTCTGTCACAACTTCTGTACATCACACGCAGCGAACTCGCTGCAAAAGATCGTTTCATTGGCTAATCCCTCACATCAACCAGAACGCTGGTTATATAACAACTCTTCCAGATCCTAGTGTAGTAATCTTTAAGTGTAAATAATTTAATTGAATCATCATATTTATGTATTGGACATTAAATCTGTAATAAACAACAACAAACAACAACATCCTAGTGTAGTAAAGACAAGTAAAACAAAATTTTGAACTATAAAACTATCTGTGTTTTAATCAGATTTTCTAAATAACAACCTAGCCAAAGAATATGTTGCCAGAGAATCCGGTCATATCCCTTTTTGGGTTAATTGAGGATCAACAACGCTGTGATTTACAACAATTTACATGTATTAAGTAAAACAAATAAAAACCAAAAACATCGAAAATATATTACAAACATGCGAACAAGACAGTAAATAAAAAAATGACATTAGAAATTGATATACAAAAAGAACATAACATATTTCAACTAAATAGACAATATTTTCATAAAGATGAAAAAACAAGAAAGTAAACATAAACCTGTCTCTTAATAAATAGACCGAATGAATGTAAATAAGAATAGGCTATTTCTACAACACTACAAGGAAACAAAGACACCACAATAAATAAGGACCCAGAGACAATTATAATGGCGTCAAAATCATATAATTATAAATAGTAACAGAAATTTAAGTGCCTAAGCTAAATCTTTACTCGTGTTCATCACCAAATGTGTTATTCAGAAGAAAACTTCTCTCTGTTTTGTTTCTTTTACCCCCCCCCCCCACCACCCCATGATCTCCCCGCCCTTCTTCACCAACTGTCATGTTGTTATTCCTGGATTGAAAATGACACAATGTTGCACTATCTTATCGGTCCATATATGGTAAAAACATGCCGCGCCTACAGAGCAGGTTACTTCCAACACACTTTAGGTAAGACAAAAACCAAACGAGTAAATAATATTGAAAAGGGAGAAGAACGGGTAAATTGTTCAAATATGGATCCACTATAATAATGCCGATTGCCGAATGGACGTTACAAATAACAATAATAATAGCTTTATGTTTTTACAAAAGCTGCAATCTCAATGATATAAATAATTTTTTAATGATTTGTTGAATAAAATTTAATATGGTAAAATTCTTGAACTATAAATTCTACCTCCTTGTAAATCTGGGATTTTTTTTTTTTTTTTTTTTTTTTGATTTTTTTAGAATACATGATTGCCGATTACTAGTCTAATGCCGATCCGTAAACTACGGCATTGTGGGATTGCCGACATACTCATTAGGAAACACACCCCCTCTCGTTAATATTGTAAATAATGTTGTTAATTTAATCCGTAAGTACTCATTTAATTATTCACAAATGCCACCAGAAACGAGTGCAAACATATCATGAATAGATTTTTCATGAAAGCCGCAGTTTGGGAATTCGGGACGCCTTGGATAGCCTATTTGCAATCGTCGTGTAAGTGTTTAATAATGTGATTAATGAATGTCATTCTATCAGACGGAATAATCATCCACACAGGACAGGCTCACAAAGTCACAGTGATGCTGATGCACCGGCATTAGTCACAACTAATAGATTGAAAAATAGAATTTTTTCATTGATTGCATTAAAAGGACTAAATTTTTACACAATAAATTGGCGTGGATCTTGCCGTGACTATCATCTTAGCACCTGTGTGATTTGCACAGTGTAGATATACTCACTGGCCGCCTGGACACTGATGATTACTGTTCACCCAAATGTCACAGTTTGACTAGCCCATCCAGATGCACAATTTAAACTGGTTTAACATCCCTGGTAGGTAATTATTTAATTGGTTTAACTTGCGAGTCTGAATGCAAAGGTGGGATAAGTAAGGGTTATTGACTGAGGGGTTCAACTTCAAGTTAGATGATGCCCAAGCTCGTGCTAAGTTGTGCACTGAGAACGCACAGTGTGGATTATTGACTAATCTTGTGAGCACATTAGAGGCGTAGTTTTATTGAGTATTAATTATGTTTATATTTTTATGTTACAGGTTGTAGTTGTTGTTCATCAAGATGATTGGTGGGTTGTTTATATACAACCATAAAGGCGAGGTCCTCATATCTCGTGTTTATCGAGATGATATTGGGTAAATATTTATAATCACGACCAGTACTATTATATCATTGATGATATTGGGTTGATATAATACTTTAGTCACAACTAGTGTCCTTACATATCATAGATAAGGTGTGGTGGTGGTGGTGGGGGGCTGAACGGTATAATGTGAACACTTTAAATCATAAGGTCTGTCGACTGGCATGGTTTTGATTCCCAGCTTATACATGACGAGAAGTAGAGATGCCTGTCCAACCTCTTGAGTTTTCCCTGCGTCCTCCCACTGCTAAAGACTCCTATGTGCAAGCAAATTGACGTAATAAAATTGAACCATATGTTAATCCCAAAATGTATGTGTTGTGTGGACGTTTAACCCCATTTCTCTCTCTACATGTACATATCATTCATTGATGCACCAACAGCACTGTTAGTGGTCTACTGGCTTTACAATACATCGACTCGCAAAATTATGTTTTGGTAGCAAATACAATTTGTTATTTTTGACTATAGGGAGCCACAGTGGCTCAGTGATCCCTACGCTGGCTGAAAAATTTCATCAGGTTTTTCTGGCGTGGTTCCCCCTTGTCTGTGGTGGCCGTTCGAATGGGCCAAAAAAAAATCCTGAGGTCCCTTGTACAGATTGATATGCATACCGTATAGAAAACCTTGATACTCGGAATTTGAAATAAGAGTAGGCTGTAGCACCGCTGTCCGTGTAAAATTTCCATCATTGCACACGTTAAACTCCACAAGGAAGGCAGAGTTTTGTAGGCTATACTATATGTATCTATTTACTACTGCTGCCATATTAGACTAGTTGTGATAAAAAGTGTAGGAAAACTTCATTCCAATTCCAATGTAAAATTTAGTGCCTTTGTGAACATCTATCATTAATGGGTGATTGGTAAAGTATTTTGATGGGCTTCTTAATGAAATGTTAATTTAAATAATCAGTTTGAGTACATTTATCGTGGAATTATGAGATATATAGCCTGAAAAATGAGACGAGGTCCGAAAAATGCAAATGACGATGAAGGGCGATAATAAGCAACAGAAATAAGTCAAGAGAAAAGTTAAACATCTGTTCACTTGCCGATAAACTCATATCATACATTACGGTTGTGATTAGTTTTATCTTGTGTCACTGTGCTATGAAGGCTATGGATTGACATGGGAGACAGATCAATATGAAAATCAATAACATTACCATATGTTCTATTTTCTATGAATTATTCCACACTCCATTTCTCGTAAAACCTTTTTTTTTCTACAATTTGGATAGAAATATCGATTACTGAATATGATTTACTCTGGTTAAGGCTTTAGGAATGGGTATGTGCAGATATTGACTAGTCTAGTTCCCTGGAAAAGTGATCTTTTTCACATGGGGTGGGGTGACTTATTTTCACATGGGGTAGGGTGGCTTATTTTCACATGGGGTAGGGTGACTTATTTTCACATGGGGTAGGGTGGCTTATTTTCACATGGGGTAGGGTGGCTTATTTTCACATGGGGTAGGGTTACTTATTTTCACATGGGGTAGGTTGGCTTATTTTCACATTGTGTAGGGTGGCTTATTTTCACATTGGGTGGGTTGGCTTATTTTAAGTAGCTAGACTGCCTTACACTGCCAAATTAACAGAATCAGTAAATGTTTTTAAACCGTGTATAGCTATTCATGTGACTCTGGAGATTTTAAGCCCTCAGAGTTGGCATTGGTTGCAGGCAGTTTCAGTCCTTCATGTTAATGAAATCGTGTAGACGCCATAAAAAGCTTCTGCCAATTTCAAAAATGAGAAGTAAGCTCCTGTAAAAATCTCTTCTTAATTATATTGCAAGAGTAATTCTACGTTTTCTTGAATTAAGGAGAACCAGATTGTATTTATGCTTTAGTCTTGTTTAATATTCTCTTTATATGTTCTTATGGAAGTTACTGCCTTACATGTTTGAAAACGCTAACGTATGCAGTTTAAAAATAAAACAAAAACTGAAAGTAGTTTATTAATCTCAATATTTAAGAGATTGATTGAGCTAATTTGCGGGAGCCTTTAATGACTCGCGCGAAGGAAAGTTGAGGTGCGTCGAGAGGAGCAGGAGCAAAGTGCACCTTCAACGTGAAGGACTGCAGTTTCGGGCATTCTAGTTTATCCAAGCTTTACTTCCGTTCCACATGGGGTGATATATGGATGACAACTGTCTCCTATAATTAGTGGGTGGTGGGGGATGATCGAATGGTTAGCGCATTTGCGCTGTATCATAAGGTCTGTCATTGAGTCAACTGGTATGGTTTCAATTCCCAAGTTGTATGTGACAAGGAGTAGGGTCGTCTGTCCAGCCTCGTGGGTTTCCTCCCACTGCTAAAGACAACTACACGCAAGTGAGTTATTGAAATAAAATTGAACCATATTTTAGTCCCGAAATGACTTAGTTTGTGTTGAGTGGACGTTAAATCCCATTTTTCTCTTTCTTTCTCTCTCTCTCTCTCTCTCTACTTATTATTTAAATAATTTAATACATTTATATTTTGCTCCTATTTCAGACGTAATGCAGTTGATGCTTTTAGAGTAAATGTGATTCACGCCCGACAACAAGTCAGGTCACCTGTAACTAATATTGCTAGGACAAGTTTTTTCCACGTTAAACGCTCCAACATCTGGTTGGCAGCCGTCACAAAACAAAATGTTAATGCAGCAATGGTCTTTGAATTCCTTTTTAAAATGGTGGAAGTTATGCAGTCCTATTTTGGAAAGATCTCAGAAGACAACATAAAGAACAACTTTGTTCTTATTTATGAAATTCTCGATGGTAAGCTGATCTGCATATTAAACAGTATTTAGTAATTGAACACATTAAGATAAATACAAAAGTTCTATGGATAAATAATTACCGTATTTTATTGGAGCTACGTTTCAACAATGATTCTCTTGTCGTTTTCAAGCACTATACTGATACAGCAGGAGGAACGAAATATAAATCTTATATGTACAATGAAAACATTATTCAAGCCACTAAATTGTGAGAACAGTGACCATTTGAATATCTTACTGTTTTGACGAGATAGGTGTCCTTGTCAGGCCCTCCATCCTGGGTGCCGAACAGAGAGTCTGGCAAAAAGATTGTAAGGTTCCTGTGTAATATTATATGTAATAAACCTTCATTTGTTCGTTTGGCTAGAAGTCTGTTTCCGTATATGATAGAGCCCGTTGAAGTTCTCTTTATATTCAGCTTACAGTTAGAACAAACATGAATTTTCTAATAAATATTATAGATTAACGATATTAATTTGCTTATAAAACTGTGTAGAATTGAAAAAAAACTTCATTACTTTAATCCATTTTTTTATATTTTCAGAAATACTAGATTTTGGTTATCCCCAAAACACAGATACTGGAATATTAAAAACATTTATAACTCAACAAGGTGTGAAATCACAGGTAAACCAAAAAATGACCATGGTTGTTTATTGTCATATTATTGGGTGGTTGAATCCAACCTTGTGGGTTTTCTCCGGGTCCTCTGGTTTCCTCCCACTGCTAAAGACCCCCATGCTCAAGCGAATTATTTAAATAAAATTGAACCATATGTTAGTCCCGAAATGACCTAGTTTGTGTCGAGTGGACGTTAAACCCCATTTCTCTCTTTTGGGTGGTTGAATGTCTTAACATAAATTGGTTGTATGATTGGTTATTGTTACACTAACTTTCGGGAGGTTGGGTGGCCAAATGATCTATTGTGTGTGCTTTAGATCATAAGGTCTGGTTTCGATGTCTGAATTGTGTGTGACAAGGAGTAGATTTACTTGCATAACCTCATTTTTTTTCTCTGGGTCCTACGGTTTCTTTCACAGCTAAAGACCCCCATGCACAAGCAAATTATTGAAATTAAATTGAACCATATGTTAGTCCCGAACTGACCTAGTTTGAGTTGAGTAGACATTAAACTCTCTCTCACTCTTCTATAAGAAAGAGACTGTACTATTCATATGAGAAAAGAGAGCCAATCCTAAACCAAGTCTTGTGACTGTTAAGATCTGTAACGAACCCGGGCTTGCATCTGTTGACTTTATACTCTCCCGTTATTCTCAGCTCTCAAATTAACTCCAGGTCAGCGCATCTCTTTGTCCAAAAGCGAGAAACAATGCGTGCTTCGTTCTGTTTATTGTCGACTTTTCTCGAAGAAAAATAACTTCAAACATGAATGAAAAGACTGTAGTGGTTTTAGAAAGTCCCACTCGTCTATGTCTAGAACCTACACCCCTCTCTGTAAACTGACTGTCTTGTGAGTTCATATACCATGTACCATAAATAATAACGACATCCTTTCTGGACTTGCTTACTTCCAGTCGAAAGAAGAAACGGCTCAGATAACATCACAAGTAACTGGACAGATAGGTTGGCGTCGTGAGGGTATTAAATACCGTCGGAATGAATTGTTCCTGGATGTCTTGGAATCTGTTAATCTTCTCATGTCTCCTCAAGGTATTGTATGCTACTAACATTCTACAGTACAGTCTCTCTCAAAACAATTCTCACAACTGATAATATTAATGCCTCTTGACATTTTTTGCATTTCCCAGAAATCAAATTTTCCCACAGCTTAATCCACGCTAAAATGTATTCAGATTGATTATTTAACAAAAATTTACTTGTCAGAATGTCAACGGTAGATAATGTGCCGGATCTTCAGGATTTCTCAAGGATATCACTTCTTAGGGTGCCATCTACGCGACTGACAGGCAAAGTCTGCCTAGTTGTTCGGAGGGTACAAAAATACCAGGTTCACAAGAATGCACAAAATCGAACACCCTTTGACATTGAATAACAGATACTGAAATATCTGTTCATATAGGTTTGGTAAAATATTCAATTATTATTGTCAGTGTTACTGAGAGTAACAGACTGTACTGTACATGTGTAAATCAATCAAATAAAATAGATTTAGTAATCACAAGATTAGTAATTAGTAATCACGGGTTTAGTAATTAGTAATCACAAGCTTAGTAATTACAAGTCTAGTAATTGGCAATCACAAGTTTAGCAATTAGTAATCACACGTCTAGTAATAAGCAATCACAAGTTTAATAGTTATCAATTGCACGTCTAGTAATTAGTAATCACACGTCTAGTAATTAGCAATTGCACGCCTAGTAATTAGTAATCAAATGTCTAGTAAATAGCAATCACAAGTCTAGTAATTAGTAATCACAAGTTTAGCATTGAGTAATCAATTGGCGATCACAAGTTTAGTAATTAGTAATCACAAGTTTAGTATTGAGTAATCAATCAATTAGCAATCACAAGTTTAGTTATTAGTAATCACAAATTTAGTAATTAGTAATCACAAGTTTAGTAATGATGGGTTTAGTAATTAGTAATCATGAGTTTAGTAATCAGTAATCTCAAGAATATAGACAAAAAAATTACTAAGCATAGGATGTCAAATTCAAATTCCAGATATTGAATGCATCCTATTGTTTTGAAATTTTTTGATCCCAAAATATTTTTGAATCAGAACCATTTTCTTTCTAATTAACTTATTGTATGTTTAGATTTTGTAAATGACTAAACGCCATGAGAACTAAATATTTCTTTAGTTCACATTATTGCACTTAATCCTTTCATTACTGGTTGATATGTTAGCCATCTTACTGGGAAGGTGTCTGCTGTACCTATTACTTTAATAGAAATTGACCCGGTGAAATGGTCCTACCGAAGAGTTAATTCTGACGTGATGATCACAGGTGACGGGACCCCTTTTAGTCACTGTAGTATTTTAGGCCTTAAATGGGTCCTGTCACCAGGCACTGGGTAGACCCAGTGACTCGGTCCCAAGTAATGAATTGATTTAAACAGTAACATGTTTGTTTTGTCTTACTCTTATTTTCATATAAAAAGAATTAGCTGATATTGTGTAAAATTCATATCACAAATATATCTTCGCCCTCTCTGTCTTAGCACTATCTTCTATTTGTTCAAACTGCAATACTCTGTATATTTAATCAGTATTTATTACGTGTAGAATCAGAATCCTCATCAATTGATGACTCGATGTACACTGTATTGATCAGTTAATCAATAATTATATATAGGGTAGAGAGATTTCTCTAGAACTGTCAAAGTTCTGTTAATTCTCAGGTCGATGAGTTAAAGATGGAACGGTTGTTCGAATTGATCACCATTTGTGACATATTCTTGAAGTGTTCACTGGATTGTTATGTAGTAGAATTAGAAATCTTTAAAGGAAGAACTTTCTTTAATTTCAATTAAGAAAATTGATTAATTAACATAAAATGTAACAGTAATTGAAAAGGTCTTTGAAGACGTTTACTTCAAATTGCAATTAAGAAAATTTATTAATTGATATCAAATGTAAAAGTAATTGAAAAAGTCTTTGAAGAAGTTTGCTTCAAATTGTGATTAAGAAAATTAATTATTTAAAATGATCCTTCTATGTTGAATATAATATATGTCTAATACATTAGATTTCTTCTTGAAGGCACCTAGATATCTTGGCTGTTTCGCCCTGTGATAAAGGGACTATGTTTTATTTTCTCTAAGATGTTTTAGAATCAGAAAGTAAATCTTGGACGATGAAAATCTTAATGTGCTTCAAAAACCTGTCCTATTTTTTATCTTTATTCAAAACATATTAGTTATTTTTTTTAAATAAAAAAATAATTAATATGTTCATATGCCATGGACTTAGTATGATTTTGAATGTACAGGTTTCTAAGGATTTCTTAGTTCTCTGAAAGTATGAATTCGTGCTGCTTTAATCGGTAATATTATCAAGTCTCCCAGAAACTATCAAATTTTCTGCTGCTTAATCAATGCTGAAATGTGCTCAAATTGATTGTTTAACATGCATTTAAAAAAAATTAACATGTACGAAGTCCATTGTGTGATGTAAAGATAATCAGAGTTTTTGTTGTACGTCGAGAATCCATCATTTAATATCTACTTCTGATGGTTGAAACCAGGGCTCTTGATTCCCTTATATTTGCCAGTCTTCATTTTCTCTGTGAACTTCACTTGACTGTCAATTCACATAATAAGATATTTTAATCAATTTAATCGAAAAAATGCAGTTAAATACATAAGTCTTTTATGTTTATAAATTGATTCATAAATTGACTATGTCAAAAAATTGTTATTTTTTTTCCACCCAAAAAAATGTCTCGTTTATTAACAAAAAATTGACTTGCTGGCAAGATTATGAAGCAAGAGTTCTGGTTGAAACAAACGGCCATTAAAACATCTTTATTTTTAAGGAGGGAATATTTCATAGTTCCCTTATACTTAAACGACGCTTTACAACAATGCATCAAGCTACAAAATACCCTCTTTAAGAAAAAAAATATTGCTTTATATCTTCTTCTTTTCGCATATTTCTTATACAAAGATCCTGGGAATGGTCTCTCCAAATACTTCCCTTTTGTGCTTCTATCTCTTCTCGCAAATTAAATTAAATTTTTTTTGTCTTTCGATATACTAGATTTATGCATTTTAAAGGTTACATTACATTATTTAATTTAACTAAGTCAAATTTAGTAGGTCTCTTAACTTATTTTAGACCTAACATTACTTTTGAGTACACGTATCTTAGTGACCTAACATAACTTTGAGTACACATATTTTAGTGAGCTAACATAACTTTGAGTACACATATTTTAGTGATATTACATTACTGTGAGTACACATATTTTAGTGACATAACTGAGTACACATATTTTAGTGACATAACTGAGTACACATATTTTCGTGACATATAAAACATAACTTAGTGACCTAACGTAACACTGAGTACACATATCTTGGTGACCTAACATAACTTTGAGTGAGTACACATAGCTCGTCAGGTATAAATTTAGATTAAGACAGCGTTCTGTAACTATAACTGGGTTTTAGGACAAGTATTGAGTGCCCATGTAGCTGGGCGTATTGTTATGAAGAGTTATTTAAGTGGCATGCCGGAATGTAAGTTCGGCATCAACGATAAGCTTTTGATGGAGAGTAAAGGAAAAAGCAGCTTGGATGATGCAGGAAGAGGGGGCGCGTAAGTACATTTTTGTAATTTTTTTTTTTTTTTAAAAGTATAGTGCTAATTTGAACAATTTGAAAAATGGGTTAATGTATGACGTTTCGAAAACCTATGTTTTTCGCCTCAAAGATGAGTTGCGCATGGGTGCCAGTTACTTGTCAAATAAAACAGACTCACTTTATTTTATCACAAAGCGAGAGCCAGGGTAGGTAAGACGCTGGCTCACTAGTCTGGAGGTTGCATGTTCGATCAGGATTTTCCATCATGGTTCCCCTTGTCAGTGGTGCAGGACAGAGGGCCTGTCAAGGACAGCTGTCTAGTCGTTTGGATGGGATAAAAAAAAAAACGAGGTCCCGTGTATACATTGGCGTGCACGTAAAAGATCCCTTGTCAGTTGGAATTCGATATAAGAGTAGACTTTAGTGACGCTGTCCGGGCAAAATTTCCCTCATAGCACACTATGTCTATATGGCGTATGCCCGTCTTCATTAGCCCAGTTGAAGCAGAACAGTCAGACATTAAACCCCATTTCATATATATATATATATATATAGTAATGTTATTAATAGTCCGTTTCTATTTACAGTACTGGTAAAACAGCTATTGCTATTGATGACTGTCAATTCCACCAGTGTGTTAAACTTAGTAAATTTGAAACAGAACATAGTATTAGTTTTATACCACCAGATGGTGAATATGAGTTAATGAAGTAAGTAATACCCCAGTTATGCTAACGGCAGACGGGCCGAATGCTTAGCATGTGCACGTTGTATCGTAAGATCTGTCATTGAGTCAACTGGCATGGATTCGACTCCTCAATTGTATGTGGCTAGGAGTAGGGTCGCCCGTCCCACCTCGTGGGTTTTCTCTCTGTCCTCTGCTTTCCTCCCACTGCTAAAGACCCCTACGCGCAAGCAAATTATTGAAATAGAATTGAACCATGTTTTAGTCCCAAAATGACCTAGTTTGTGTTAAGTGGATGTTAAACCCCATTTCTCTGTCACTCTCTCTTAGGGCAGACAATCGTATTTTTTTGCTTGATCGTGCCGATTAGAATTCGGCAGCGATTTTTAACGTCCGTTCGCGATCGAGCACATGTAGCGATCGTCCCAAGAGGGAATGCCATTCTGCGAGTAAATTACGTTGATAATGTGAATTGTTCTATATGGCGCATCGCCGAAATCATAAGATTTCTGTTGTAGCTTGCTATTTATTTGCTAAAAATGAAACGCAGAATAGCTAGAACAGCTCGTTAGACAAATCAAAACCTGTGGTACAGGAGTTACAGTCCACGCTTCGGCAGTGGAGGCAGACATTTTGAGATCATGTGATATCAATCATGTCTCTGATTGGCATATAAAAATGGTAAGTCTGACAATATACGCTGGACACGGGCACACAAGTGAATTTGATCGCTGGCAAAAAATATTCACCTGAAAATATCTAACATGCTACATATGAGCGATTGATCAGGTTTAATGGTTCACTGCCTTGTAGGGGCACAAAGATGATTTTTCAAGCGATTTTAAAAATTGGCACGATTGAGTGGAAAAATACGCTCGTCTGCCCCCACTTTAATAAAGTAAGTACACATGATTTTGGTACCTCAGTTATTGAGTTAAAGTAAGATTTAATTTGTTTTAATTTTTCAGATATAGAACAACCAAGGACATTAGTCTACCATTCCGTGTTATACCATTAGTCAGGGAAGTTGGTCGACAAAAGATGGAAGTCAAGGTTGTCGTCAAGTCAAACTTCAAGCCTTCACTTCTAGCCCAGAAAGTTGAGGTATAGTTAAATAGGGTTACATTTATATTTTATCGCAGTTTTAAGGGATGGAAGGGGATTGGATGGCCGAATGGTTAGCACGTGCGAGTTGTATCATAAGGTCTGTCATTGACTCAACTGGTGCAGTTTCAATTCTCCGGTTGTACGTGACAAGGAGAAGGGTCGCCTGTCCAACATTGTGGGTTTTCTCTGGGTGTTTCGGTTTCCTGCCACTGTTAAATTGTTTTAAGTCTTGTTTGTTATGACCCAAATTAAACTTTGATGTGATTTTTCTCTGATTTGAGTTTTTGGACGAAAATGCAAAAAAAATCACACAATTATATAAATGCTTATAAATTAGTAAAAATACAGTGGACTCCAAATGTCTCTCTGTCATTTCCTAACTTTATGCATTGTTTATAAGGTGTGAAAGTTTCAGAACTGTAGAGTTATTATTAACAGAGATCTAGCACTCCTACGAATTTCCTCATTTTTTCTTGATTCTTGGTAACCATGGCAACCAATGTCCGATTTGGGATTTGATGAAAAAAATCAGCTAACTAAATGGTTTTTATAGTATATACAAAGTTTCAACCCAAAATAACATTAAATAAAAATAAAAAAATTTCGCCCCTCGTTCTCCCTTAAGTTTTTTGTAGTTTAGTTGTAGGGTTAAAAATTAACAAAAATTAATCAAGTTTATGTCGCACTAATTAATTTACACATGCACTATAGCCTACACTAATTATATAAATGACATTATTTCTGTTTTATGATTATTATATTTTGTTTTATTACCTGGATTTTAAAATAGGTAAGATAACTTTGTTGATACTTAGATTAGAAACTCTCTCACCAAATATATATATATATATAGTAACTCTCTGTAGGTGCTAAGGCCTTGATAAATGTTTAAACCACATTTAGTAATTGACACATTTAGTAATTAACCATTAAGTAATTGACACATTAAGTAATTGATACATTTAGTAATTGACCATTAAGATAAACACAAGAGTTGTATGGAAGTCAATTACTGTATTTTAATTGGAGCTACAATGATTCTCTTGTTGTTTTCATGGACAATACAGATACAGTCAGAAAGAAGAAATATATATATTATTTGCAATCAAAACCTTATAGTTTAATTGTGCTTTTATTAGAAAATAGGGGATCACATGGCTAAGTGGGTAAGACGCTGGCTCGCTAGCCTGGAGGTCGGGTGTTCGATCCCTGCATTGGCCGAGAAAGTTCATTCAGATTTTCCGGCGTTGTTTCATTTTATTTCATATTAGAAAATACTAGATATAACACAGATTAGTTGGTATTTTAGTATCATGAATTATGTTTTATATAAATTTGTTAATTAAAATGTATTTTTTTCATTATTTTATTTTAGGTGCGAATTCCTACACCATTGAACACAAGTGGCGTACAAGTGATCTGTATGAAGGGAAAAGCTAAATATAAAGCCAGTGAAAATGCTATAGTTTGGAAGTAAGTATGTGGTGCCGTTTCTTCGATCGTAGATACCTCGTGGGTTTTCTCCGGGTTCTCCGGTTTCTTCCCATTGCTAAGGACCCCTACGTGCAAGCGAATTATTGAAATAAAATTAAACCATATATTGTTTCGAGTGGACGTTAAACCCCACTTCTCTCCGGGTCCTCCGGTTTCCTCCCACTGCTAAAGACCCCTACGCACAAGTGAATGATTGAAATAAAATTGAACCATGTGTTAGTCATTGAGTCAACTGGCAGGGTTTCGATTCCCCGGTTGTACGTGACAAGGAGTAGGGTCGCCTGTCCAACCTTGTGGGTTTTCTCCGGGTCCTCTTGTTTCCTCCCACTGCTAAAGACCCCTAAGCACAAGCGAATGATTGAAATAAAATTGAACCATGTGTTAATCCCGAAATGACCTAGTTTGTGTCGACAGTCAACGTTAAACCCCATTTCTCTCTTTCTCTCTCTCCCCTTATAGCGCTAAATGACGCATCAAGCCTTTTATTGACACTTCAAGTTTAATGATTTTTACCGATCTCTGGACTATCTTGAATTAAAATAAAATTCTATTTATAGAATCAAGAGAATGGGAGGTATGAAAGAATGTCAACTTAGTGCTGAGATAGAACTTTTAAATACTAATGATAAGAAAAAATGGACAAGACCACCAATCTCAATGAACTTTGAGGTAAGCTTACATTATGACTTATATTTTTATATATTCATCACCATCAATAAATCTGGAGCCATGGTGGCTCAGGGAGTAGGATTCTTTCCGCATGGATCCTCCTTGTCAGTAGTGCAGGACCAAGGGCCTGCCTGGCAAGGGATAACGTATAGTCGTTCAGATGGTATAAAAAAACTGAGGTCTTGTGTACACATTGGCATGCACGTAAAAGATCCTTTGGCAGTTGGAATTCGATATAAGAGTAGGCCGTAGCATCTCTGTCCAACAAAATTTTCCCCATAGCACACTGTATGGCGTATACCTGTCATCATTAACCCAGATGGAGCAGAACATTAGGACGTTAAACCCCATTTCATTTCATATCGGTCATAATTTAGCAGAACAAGATTTATATCAGTTATTGGAGTTATCTCCCTTGCAGCTGGAGATTCCTTGTGATATGAAATTTTTACCCTGTAGTGGTTTTATTGCGGTTTGCTTTCTCCTCTCTTCTTTTGAATAGTTCCTTTGTGATGACCACTTCACAAGGGTTGCTGGAAACCACAAGGTTCTTCTACACACTGTTAAACATGTTTATATCACAATGATGCTTGTATTTATAGAATATTCATCATTGTTAATTTAATAAATAAATAACTATTTATGAATAACAATTTCTATGGTTTATTACGCCAGGCCTGTAGCTAGCAGGGGGGAAGTGTCCGAAGGTGCTCTTTATATTGGAAGCAATACGAAGCCAATGACCAAAGTGGCCATATCAGTAGGGACACCCCATAAAGCCGAGTGACATTATGGGCACCCCCTCCAGGATGAGGCACCCCTCCAATCATGCCCACCAAATCTCACTCAGCATTATGCATGGACCATCAAGTGTAAGGTATATCGACACCCCCAGAAGCCCTTGCCCCCCCCCCCCCAGTGTATCCTCGTCAAAACGTCGCTTAGTATTAAACTCAGTAATTGTGTATCCATAAAATTGTACCTTGTTTTAATATGTTCAATTATTAAATGCCAATTTCAACAAGTTTTTACAAGTCGTTATCAAGCATATATTTATATCGTTTGTGTTTTATATGCTTGATAACGACTTGTGAAATCGTGTTGAAACGTCACAGTGTAATAAACCATAGTAATTGTTATCTATAAATAGTATTTTATTTGGTTATGTTCCAATTACTAAATGATATTTCAAAGAATTGTTAATTTAGACATAAATTATGCAAGCGCTAAATCTGTCTATTGCAGGTCTTTCTTTAGGCCTTAAATGTTATCTAAATTATTAATTAGACATTAATTAACTTATCCACACCATAATCAACTCTCGATGACATCGCTAACCTGCAATTTTTAGCAGATTGGAATACTTTTTTTGAAAAATAATTAAATTTTGTTTTATATCCTACCGACTTTAGAAATGATGATCGAGGCTAGCCTAAAATTCAAAAGCTAATATCTCGGTTCAGAGTTGAGCAATTTGACTGAAATTTTCACCATATTCTATTTATATTATGTATTTTTTGACTATTATAGCGAGAACTGTCAACACTTAACTAATCTCCCATAATGCACCTTTAATTTTATTGATTTCAATTATTATTATCTTCTACTACAGGTACCATTTGCTCCATCTGGTTTCAAGGTTCGTTATTTGAAGGTATTTGAACCTAAGATGAACTACAGCGATCACGATGTTATCAAGTGGGTCAGATATATCGGACGTAGTGGATTATATGAAACAAGATGCTGAGATAACGTACATAATAAACATTAACAAACATCGTCAAAACTAAGGTCAAAAATAAAAATACCTGTGTTAACAGTCATTGAACCGATGGACCCTATTTGTTTCAGCCAAAATCGCCAAACCTAAACTTTCGCTAATTCGGTCTTGACGCGATTACCTCTAGACAAACTCCCATCAGTGAAATTTCGGTAGAATTTTCGAGAACTGTACTCGGTAATTAAGCTAGAAATGCATGGAAATAGATAATACAAAACCCACAAAAACCCCACAAAAAAGTAAAAAGACTTTCCAACTGACCTATCCTATTTCAGAGTCCAAGTTATCGTATAAACACAGGTATTTTTTTTGTTGGCCTTAACAAAGTCATTAGTTATAGTCACAAACTTATAATTATATAGAGAATGTAAGAAAGAATTAGACACCAGAACGACGACCCGAAACCATCAAAATTCCCATTGGTCGTGCTCTAAACCATTTTTGGGCCTGATCCACAGTCTGTCCCTTTTTGTTTCATCAAAAAAAACAACATTTCAATAGTTACTCGGTCAATATGAACTGCAAAAAAACTTTTGTCAGAACTTTTAAACCATATCCAATTAAAAATAGTAAATTTGTCAGGGATAGAGATATGTACAAAATATATCTTTATGGGAAGTAAATGTCAGAAATAAATGTTTTTATATTTCACAACAACCAATAAAATATGTGAATCGTGTCAGTGGGGCAATGCAAACACTTTTGGATCTGCCCGAGGGTCTGTCCCATTGTCAGTTTTAAATTCTTTCACCGTTGATGCATTATAATGCTGGTACTGAATTGAGATTATGTCTTTTCAACAATTAACCTGATATAATATGAGTTGAGAAATTTCATATTTACGTGACGCATCATTTTATTCATCAAAGGAGTAGTTTTAATTTCGTTGCATTAGATTTTTGAGCCAGCAGTTTCTTCTTGGGGGTGAGGATCTTTAAAAAAAAAGCCTAAGACTCTTCCAATTTTAAGTATGACCGACATGAAACTGGACATGCTTGTTTTTTGGACAATTGCCCCTCGATTGACGGACTTCAATATTTGTTATGAATGACATCACAATAACAAGAAACCTTCGAGGACGTAGATTCCTGGTTTATATAGCACGTCTGTTGCCATGACGAAAGACTTGGTTCCATTTTCATAAAGTACTCTAGTGCTTGTGTGTGTTAATGAAAATGGATTACGTGCTGCCATTAAATTATTATGTATTAAGATATTTCTACGTTATATAATTGTAGCAGACGTCTTTTGTTGAATTTATATACGAGATGTACGTATAATTTACGAGTAGAAAAATTCATTTACTGACATACTTATAAATGGTAGAATTGAAAACAATAATTATAAATGTATTTTGTTCATAAACATCACAGATTTTGTTTTAGGAATTGGTGCATTCATTAATGATATATCATTGTCTGAATTATATATATGTAATGTCTGTTAAAGTTGCAATTTCATATTTTTAAGTTATGTTTTTAAAATTTATTAAAATAAAGCCTTAAAATAGATGGTATCTATAAACAGTCCTACCTTGTTAAAGAGTAATCCTATTAATCCTATAATTCACTATTGCCAGTTGAAAAATTGGCAAAAATATCATTTTCATCTTCAATTTCCAACGTTTAAAGATAACTACTCCATGGTGGAGAATAGAAAACAAGGGAGGTAATTGTGTTATTATTTCCGATGTAAATGACTTTCTTAGAAAATATGAAATTGTAACTTTAATGAATTGAAATATTTGAGATTTATTGTAGAATAACACATATAGTTATATGTCAATATCATTATCTGAGGTGATTATCCAGAAATATGTAGGTATATATAAGTCAATATTATTATCTTAGGTGATTATCCAGACACTTTAACCACTGGCAATAACAGAGGGGGTGGGGGACAGTTGGCATGGGCCTAGGATTTTTAAGGGGGGCTTCTAACCCTGGTCAAAAGGGGGATCTTTGGTAAAATTAATCGAGTCAACTTGGATCCTTCCGTACTAAATATTAAACGGGCATTATGTAAGAGCTAAATCTGCCTATTGCAGGTCTTTCATTGGGCCTTAAATGTTATATAAATTATTAATTGGGCATTAATTAACTTATCCAGGCCATAATCAACTCTCGATGCCATTGAGTGGCTCTGATTTTAAGTAGATTAGAACGGTTCGGCCATTTAATGATTTAATTTAAAAATGGAGAAGCTAGGCTAAGCGAACAACCAGTACAGTGGTTACGATCAATGTATTCATTTTGCATTATCTATTTTTGAACTATTATAGCATAGCGAGAACAGCCAGCTCTTTATCTAATTCTTACATAATCTATCGTAGCGAGAACGGCAAGCTCTTTATCTAAACCTTACATAATCTATCATAGCGAGAACGGCCAGCTCTTTATCTAAACCTTACATAATCTATCGTAGCGAGAACGGCAAGCTCTTTATCTAAACCTTACATAATCTATCGTAGCGAGAACGGCCAGCTCTTTAACTAAATCTTACGTAATCTATCGTAGCGAGAACGGCAAGCTCTTTATCTAAACCTTACATAATCTATCGTAGCGAGAACGGCCAGCTCTTTAACTAAATCTTACGTAATCTATCGTAGCGAGAACGGCAAGCTCTTTATCTAAACCTTACATAATCTATCGTAGCGAGAACGGACAGCTCTTTATCTAAATCTTACATAATGCCCATTTAATATATACCCAACAATATAACATGTATTAAATTTAGTACTGATTGCAGTTTGAAATGAACCCCACATTTTGCCATCTAGCTAGGGTCTATTACTAGCTTTGTACAGGCTTGTGTGCAAGGCTTTCAATTAAAACTTTTGCTAGCGGGTCAGTTTCTCATCTACATCGGCCTGTTTATTTGCAACATTCCTAATGTTCTACGACGTTAAATTAATTCTTATGTTAGAATAGTTTGATGGTGTAAAGGTTTCTATATCTAGTTTAAAGATGCATCATGTAAGAGATAAATCTACCCATCGCAGGGCTTTCTTTAGGCCTTAGACATTTATTAACTTGGCAAGACCATAATCAACCCTTGACGTCATCAGATGCTATAGATTTTCAACAGATTTAAGTAAGATTGACGGTTAATGATTTAATTTTATAATGGATAATCAAGACTTTGTTTATTATCGTAACAACGGCAGCAATGACAATCGTGACTACACTGTTCTGCAATCGACGATAACACATATATTCCCTTATCTATTTTTGAACTGTTATCGTGAGAACTGTCAGCTCTTTATCTAAATCTTACATAATGTATCTTTAAATTCACTTCAGTATATATATAGCTTAGATTGGTGTTAAAAACTGTTTTCTTCTCAAATGATCTTATATAATGTGACATGGAGAAATTCAACATGTGGGTTGATTGATAGTGTGTTTGACAAATTTATAATAGAATTGAAACTGGACTTTTGTTGCCTACATAACATTTATTGCTATTAAGTTATATCGTAGTATTAGATAAGCGAATTTGTTTATTTTATCTCGGGAGATAACTAGTAAGCCTGACATCACCCTTATTTAAAGGCCTGATGCGTCGTCATTTGGATTTTCAATAAATTATCAAATTTATCACTACTTAATACACGCTAAAAAAAACAAAAGTCCGATTACCAACGCTAGATAATGTCCTGGCTTGGATTCAGTCAGATTTAAAAATAGGTTTTTAAGTGCACTGCATATATCGTTGAATGCATCATATCTTTGTAAATACTGAACCGATTTGAACTATTATATAATTACAGATTCAACTTTCGTAATATCGTAGTTTGCAAGGGATTCGTATTGAACTTAATGACGTATCAAGCCTTTAAATAAGCCATATTGTAGTATTAGATATATATATATAGCCCTGTAGATATAATACTGTATATTCTAAGCACGTATATTATTATAAAAATGTCACACATCACTTCACTGTTTTTGTTGGAATATATCTTTAAATAACAAATGTGACAGCAAAATTAGTTGCATGTCACGATGTTACCATTGATGATATATGAACAACTATGTTGAAATAGGCTATAAATATCAAAAAAAATTAGTTTGCTGTATTTGTCAAATCTAAACTTTTACCTTTCATGTTATATCATTAAAAAGATATTTTTAGCCTATTTTAACATATTTGTTCAGGTCACAAATGCTTAGTGTTAATTATTATTATAGAGATAATGAATGTTTTTTTTTTTCTTTAGCTATTAAATCTGTGAAGATGTAATAAAATCATAATATAGTATACTGTATTTAATTGTTGGGTCTTCAATAGGAGCTACAGTGACTCAGTGATTAAGGCACTGGCTAGCCTTTAGGTCGCAGGTTCAATACTGGTGTTGGCCGAGAAAGTGCAGGATGTCTAGTCATTCGGATCGGACAAAAAACAGGTCCTGTGTCCACATTGGCATGCATGTAAAAGATCCCTTGGCATTTTGAATTTGATATAAGAGTAGGCTGCAGCCTGTAAAGCATATGGCTGTCTTTATTAGCTCGGTCGGAGCAGAACCACATTTCATTTTTTAAATAAGAGGAGCAGTGGCTCGGTGAGTAGGCTGCTGGCTCGCTAACTCGAAGGTCTCGGATTCAATCCTGGTTTCGGCCACGAATGTTCCTTAGGATTTTCTGATGAATTTCCCCTCGTCAGTAATGTAGGACGGGCTGAAGACAAGGACGCTGTCAAGGAACAGCTCTAGTTGGTAGGATCGCATGAAAAACTGAGGTGCTGTGTACATGTTTGCGTGCACATAAAACAATTACCTTTGACCATTGGGATTGGATAAAGTGTAGGTTAAAACAGCTTTTTGAAATAAGATTCGGCCGTAGCATCGCTGTTCCAGAAAGAAATTCTACATAGCATACTGTTCCCTTAATTACAAAGAGGGAGGTTGGGTGGCCAAATTGTTGGCACATACACGCTGTATCATAAGGTCTGTCATTGAGTCAACTGCTGTGGTTTCGAATCCCCAGTTGTACGTGACAAGAAGTAGGGTTGCCTGTCCAACCTTGTGGGTTTTCTCCAGGTCCTCAGGTTTCCTCCCACTGCTAAAGACCCCTACATGTAAGCGAATTATTGAAATAAAACTGAACCATATGTTAGTCCCGAAATGACCTAGTTTGTGTTGAGTGGACATTAAACCCATTTCTCTCTCTCTCTTTAATTAAAAAGTTCTTCATCCTATTTCACCTGACGAGATCTTTTACCAACACGGTGGGTAAGATGCTGGCTCGCTAGTTTGGAGGTCGCGTGTTCGATCCCTGGAGGTCGCGTGTTCGATCCCTGGACGTCGCTAGCCTGGAGGTCGCATGTTCGATCCCGGCATTGGCCGAGAAAGTTCATCAGGATTTTCCGACCTGGTTTCCTCTTGTCGGTGGTGCAAGATGGAGGACCTGACAAAAACAGCTGTCTAGTCATTTGGATGGGACAAAAAACCAAAGTCCCATATATACATTGGCATGTACATAAAAGATGCCTTGGCAGTTGGAATTCGATATAAGAGTAGGCCATAGCGCCACTGCCTGGGCAAAATTTCCCTCATAGCACACTGTATGGCGTATGCCCTCTAGATCAGTTGGAGTATGACGTTAAACCCCATTTCATTTCTTTCACCAATACAGGTAATTTTAGATACGGTAAATAATGTTATTTGATCTTCTGAGTTCCAAAAGAAACTATATATACATCAGGTAAATTTATTAGTAAGTTTATACCTTTAAAAAGGTTAGATAATAGTGTACGCTACGTAACATGGTTTTACGTCCTAGTTAGATAATAGAATTAAATACGACCTGTTTTACTTGGGGATTTTATAGTGATACCAGCCATGTATTAATGATGATATACTGGTAAATTATAAATATTGCTTATAAAAAAAAAAAAAAAAAAAAATTATAACGACATAATTATTAGGAATAGAATGGAGTAAAGTATTAAATATAGCATAAACGTAAATACCCTTTCAATTACCGGTATTCCATTTTAGCTAAATCTATTTGTTTAGGCCAGCCCAATTTTTGTCAATGTCGATGAGATGTAAATAATTTTTAAGGTTAGGGCACGTGATTGTTGGCGAGATTGTAGGTTAGGGTTAGGGTAAGTCTCTAGGGGCTAGGTCCAGGGTTAGGATTAGCGCTAGCCGTGTTTACATTTCGTGACATATGAAGAAAAATTGAGCTGACCTTATCATTTAGCTCTAACTTTCCATTTTAAATGGTGTTTCTCCGTCACCCGATTGATCAATTATTACGTCATAATTAAAATTAGAATATTATAAGAGGACAGCACACAAAAGTTTATAAATAAAATTACAAAAAATAATCACGAGCCAAATACAGACGAACATCTTGTCGTTTAATCATCAGAGTTTCTGAAAGACCTTTTATATAGTAGGCTGAGATTATTTATTTTAGCCTACCCTCTAAGGGGTTGGGTTGGGGTCATCAAGTTTAAAATCTTTTTGTGAATTTTAATTCGGTGAACAAAATAAAATGTCGCTTAAGCAAGGCACACCTTAAAGAATTATATCGTTAGATTTAGATAAAGAGCTAGTCGTTCTGGCTATAATATTTTAATCACGGATAATGAACAATAAATATATTGAAAATTGTAACCGTAGTAATATCAATTTTTAATAGTTTTAATCGATTCATTTGGAAAAACCCGGTAAATGTATTTTCTAAAGAATTCTTTGAATTCAGATCGATAAATTACGTTTTCTGAAGAATCTTAAAATCACATTCGGATTTCATCGTTTTTCGTAATATAAAAGACTACGGTTATGGAAGCATAGCTAACTCTGCCTCGACAGACGAATGATAGAGAAGTCAGGGCGGGTCCATGTGGGTGGGGGGGGGGCATCCCCCCGCTCAGCTACATTAAAAAACCTATTGTAAAACAACGCTTTATATGAGAAATATGTAACGGTCGTGTGCTTTATCATGAGATGGTGGGATGGGATGGGATGGACATTCAATGTGCGAGATTATTATGTGTGATATCACAATTAATGCTTTGCATCAATGAAATTGAATCACAATGTGATCGTATTAATTCATTATAAAAATTGACATCAAACGCGGTGTTGGATTTCTCTCTTTAAAACGCTCAGTGTGTTTGTATGCCTACGTAATTTGGGGGCGATAATGGTATCAAGCATTGTCAACTGTCAAATTGCCTTAACAGGAACCTGGCAAACCCCCTCCTGCAAAAATTCCTGGATCAACCCCTACTTACTATATACATATATTATACGATTTATTGCGAACTCACAATCGATAACAATGTACTTTATAAATTATTTATCATTCTAGACCAAAATAATACTGAAAGTAATGTCTAAACATAACATACACGGAAATTAGAACTAAACAACTCACTCCAAAACATGTTATTACACGGAGGTTGAGTGGTCGAATGGTTAGCACGCGCGAGCTGTATCATAAGGTCTGTCATTAAGTCAACTGGCATAGTTTCGAATCCCCGGTTGCACGTGACAAGGAGTAGAGTCGCCTGTCCAAACTCGTGGGTTTTCTCCGGGTCCTCCGGTTTCCTCCCACTGCTAAAGACCCCTACGCGCAAGCGACTTATTGAAATAAAATTGAACCATGTATTAGTCCCGAAATGACCTATTTTGTGTCGAGTATAAATACCGTTAGTGATAAATGATAAGGCCAGCTCAATTTTTTTGTCATAGGTCACGAGATGTAAACAGGGCTATCGCTAATCCCAACTCTAACCCTAGCCCCAATGCCTACCCCAACCCAACCTACAATCTCGCCAACAATCACATGCCCTAACCTTTTTTCATCTCAGCGACATTGACAAAAATTGGGATGGCCTTAACAAATAGATTTATCCATATAAATACACGTCAGCTTGTGTCATATTCGAATGATGGCGTTGACTTAGTGTTAGCCGTGTAAATATTTACCTGGAAAATTGCCCAGTTTTGTATAGTGCACAGTTATAAACATGAATTATGTAAGATTTAGATAAAGAGCTGATAGTTCTCGCTATAATAATTAACAAGCGGTTGCCATGCAAGACAGGCCAACAACCTCAAATCAGGGGCGGATCCAGGAATTTTTGCAGGAGGGGGTTTGCCAGGTTCATGAGACAATGTATCCCCCCCCCCCCTCCCGCATGGTCTCTATCGTCATTTTGGCGGATATACATACACATTGAGCTTTTTAAACAAAGAAATTCAACACCTCGTTTGACGTCCATTTTTATTATGAATTAATACAATGACATTGTGATTCAATTTGATGGATACAAAGCATTAATTGTGATATCACATAATGTCTATATCATTATCTCGTGCATTGAGTGCCTATCCTGTCCCACATCTGACGATAAAGCACACGGCCGAGAAACTTTTCTCCAAAAAAAGTGTTGATTTACAATACACCCATCGCTATCAAATAGATAGCAATTTTGTAGACAAGGTTTACATTAAAGATACATTATGGGAGATAAGATAAAGAGAGGGCAGTTCTCGCTATAATAGTTAAAAACTAGATAGTGTAAAGGTAATTTGCTGAAAATTTCAGTCAAATTGATCCACTAACTAACTAATTAAAAACACAGAGCAGTGCGGGACGCAAAAAGGTCCCCACGAGGGAAACGTTCCGTCCTGCACAAACCAATTAAATTAAACTAAGCAGGGTGGAGCGCAATAATGTCCCCAAAAGAGGGTAACACAAACCACCTTGCACCCCATATTATTATATTATATCAAATATATACTTAAAGATACATTATGGGAGATAAGATAAAGAGATGGCAGTTCTCGCTATAATAGTTAAAAACTAGATAGTGTAAACGTAATTTGCTGAAAATTTCAGTCAAATTGATCCACTATGAGCCGAGAAAGTGAAATTTTTGCATAGTCTCGGTCATCATTACTAAAATCATTAATATAATCAGCATAGTCTCGGTTATCCACTTTTTCTGATTTAATTATCAACGGCCGTTAGCGGCATATAGGAATCTAATCCAGCCAACATCGAAGGCTAGCCTTGACATCGAGAGTTTATTATGGTCTGGATAAGTTAATTAATGTCTAATTGATAATTTAGATAACATTTCAGGCCTAAAGAAAGACTTCATTAGCCCTGTCGGAGCAGAACAGTAGGACGTTAAACCCCTTTTATTTCATTTCCCTTGCTGAAAATGTCACTGTGTCCCTTTTCTTCTGGTCATTGCCCGTCACACATATATATGCAGTTTATATATCATTATTGTAAATAG